AAGTTTCTTTACATTTTTTGTGATTTCATCTACAGAATGACTACTATTTTTTCCTTGCTGCTTTTCAGTCGAGTCTCTTATTGTTGTTCATCGGCGAAGTATATGCTCATCCTACGTAAAAGTGTGTCTGAACTTGTCATTCAGGACTCTCAGACTGTCCTGCCCTTCTTTCCATGTCAGACGGCGTATAGTCTTCTGAATGTCTTGTTTGTGGTGTAGAAATTTACTCCACTACCTCACAGACATTTTCCCAGGTATCGATTTTTGTTTTTTTCGCTACCGCCTGCGGGTTTCTTCGGGAAGAGTCTTTGCATCCACGTTTTCTGTGGAATGTGGTCTTCTCGTTGACGGCCATCTGAACCTCCCATTTCCAGCGGAAAATTCGTTCTTGACCATCAGGTGGTAGGTCTGGCGGTTTTAAAATGCAGCATTCAGCGACAGCCTCTGTAAGGAACTCTTACAGAGAATCCACTCGGTTTCTACATCGGCGATGTTCAAACCGTCGTGCGACGTTGTTTGCAAGTTTTGTCTCGTATCTGCAAGATAGTGTTTGAGGAGAGTAGTTCCCAGACCCCTGACGAGGGTCCAACGGCGTTGAGTTGATACCTTGCGGTCTCATCAACCAGCTTCTCCTCTTTCCCTCTAAGTAAGGAAATCTTTCAATTTCTGACCGTAAGCTCCCACTGGCCTTATCGTTCCTTTGGGGTCTTTTCTGGCGTGTTATAATGGCATTGCGCTGTCTGCCTCCTGCGTTTAGAACTGCTAGCGGATTCGTTGCTGATCGATGTCTTGTCTATTCTTCTCGATCTTCAGCAGCCATCGTCGTGCTGCTGCCCCCCAACTGTCAGAGAGCGCGAAGCAGGTTTTTATGGCCTACATTTCATGTCTCCCTCAGTTCCCCAAAGGCTGTTGTTAACTGGGCGAGATCCGAGCAATTATAACGTTTGATAACGACACTTTTATGAGGGACAGGTGACTGACCTCGCAAAGGTCTTTAACACTTCTTCCTTTCTCATGCGGGCTTGGGTCCTGCCACAGTACATTCTTGACTTCATATATGTAAATATAAACTATGGCAGAGTTGGTTTTATTTCTTTTAACGATCGAAGAATATAAAATTGTACAAATTACATATTTTTGTCGTTTCCGCTCATTTGAACGTGCAGTATACTTTCAGGAAAGGGAGGAAAAAATCGTCGTCGAGGCAAGAACGAAAACGATGCCGAAAAGCGCGAGCTAATATTCAAAGAAGATGGCCAGGGTAATACGTAAACGCCGTTTCCAAAACGTGCTGATTTCCTTTCTGGTGAAAGTAGAAATTGTTGTTGAGTTGTCGAATTTATGTAATTCAGCAGTGTGAATGAAGAGGTACTTTGGTTACTGTGTACCGATTGAGGGAATTTTTTTAGTGCCTTGATTTTAACCAAATTAATGCCAAGTCTTTCAAGATATTGGATCGTGATGTATGTTCACTTTGCTTTGCAACGGATTACTGGCGTGGAGACACGGTGCCTACGTAGGCTTCAAACCGGAAGTGTCAAGTTCGATTCCGGCGTAGGACAATTTTTGTCTTAACCACGTATTTCCTTCAGCAAGGAATTCGCCCCTGGTTGCTTCAGATCGTGGTTATTCAGTCAACAGAGAATCGGATTCAGAACTGAGGGGTTACGGATTCGAGCCCCGATCTAGGCTTTCGTTTTTTTGTAGGTTGATAAATGAACACCACTCTATGGGAAGGAAATAGGACACTCAACACTATTTTTGCCACTTAGCTGTCGATTCCGCTTTTAAAATAGTTCACTCCTCGCTGATGATGTGAAAATACAAATCAACGTTTCGCTGTTAACTTCATGGAATGAAGGTCTCCAGAATGGATCGATAATGAGAGAAGACTTTCCAACGATTACAAACTTTCCTCTTCTTTCATAATTGATGAGTTATGCAGACTTTTTGGCAAGTTATTTTAATTATACAGACTTTTGAATAGTCTTTCGACATTCAGCGTTTCAGCCTTATTTGCACGTATAGCCACCGATGCAGACCTTGTTTTGAGAATAGTTATATTTTCAGTCACGATGATGACCCGGTTGTCATGGACTCTTCGTTGAGCTTTATCAAACATATTTTGTTATGTATTTCGTACTGTAGAAGTAGTTCGCGCAAGTAGTGTTTATTATAGAAAAAAACATTTTTAATCAGTGGATTATTTATTTATCATCCGGTGTAGAAAGCTTGTCAACGCTTGGAAAGTGCAAATCTAGCTAACCTTCGCTGAATGGTACAAATCAGCTATGCGAATTGTCTTGCATACAGTTCTCACAACTGCTTAATCTCAGTTTGACGGTTTTCTCTCAGAAAACTTGGATCTTCCATATTTTTCTTAGTTATCTTCAGAATATGGGCATTTTGAATATGACAATTGACGTTTCCGTAATTGCTCAGATTCGGTAGCAATGTTTTAAGCTTCTTGCCAGGTTCTATTTCTTCCTGATCTTTTCCATGGAAGCCTTCTGCTGTTTCTGAAACATCGAACCAATGATTGCAACAGTAGTGTCTGCCCACGAATTTCTGGATATATAAAAGTCATCCGGAAGACTGTAGTTGATATGTCGGCCAATAACCATGAGCTTGTGGTAAAATAATATTTTCTATCTCGAGAAAATAGTTGGATATTGTAGTAAATAATGAAATATTGATTCGTTGTAGTTAACTTGTAATGACCTGCATAATGTTGAATAGCATTGTTTCTTAAACGCGTACCGATCGATATTTGTATTACGGTTTTTTTCTGCTGATGAAACTCAGTCTGATATCGTACTAATCCCACCATCTAATATCGTCCTTTCATGATATCGTGGTTATGCGAAATTATCGTAGTTGGCAGGCATGCAGCAGTGAGACGCTATCTGTAATATAATACAGTTTTCTCTGTATTTGGGAAATTCATATAGGAATCGTGTTTGGTAATTGTTCATTTCGTTAAGGCGGCCCTCTGTCGCCACGAACTCGCGTGTTCGAATAATCGATCAGCCTTGATCTGTTACAAAGTAGATTAATCGAGTAATTTTTTTGGAGGCATAATTGATGTACTGCAGTATTATTACACTTAGCAAAATGTTAATTAGTTGATTCGTCAATTTAATTACTTCAGTTGATGTTTATAGTAAAATTGAATCAGCTTAGAATTTATCCTTATGCTGTTTCGGTGTGAGCTGTTATTGCGTTTACACTGTTAGAGTTAAAATGTGCTTATTTGTTTCTAACTCAGAATATGCTCAAGTGGTAAAAATGCTCGGAAACAACCGATTGCAGGCGTTCTGTTTCGACGGTGTCGCAAGAATGTGCCATATTCGAGGCAAACTTCGTAAGAAGGTAAGAATTTAATTGTTTGTGACTTTCCCGTTATATCACCGATTCTTCACTGATCGTTTAGGTGTGGATCAACGCTGGGGACATCATACTCATAGGGCTTCGAGATTTTCAGGACAAAAAAGCGGATGTTATCTTGAAATACAACGCCGATGAAGCTCGCAATTTGAAAACCTACGGAGAACTTCCAGAAACAGGTAATGTGTTTCAACAGTATCTTTTTTGTTGTGA